TGAAAGAATTTAGTGTTGGCATCTCCATCTCTCAACCATTTAAGGTTACATTTTTGTTTCCAAAAGGCATGTTCTCTCTTATTCACCTCCTGAAGTTCTGCCACCTTCTGATTATAGAGGATTTTGTTGTCAGTTGAAGGGTTTTCTTCAAAGAGTTGTTCAGCCTTAGTTGCTTCATCTTCAGCTTCTTTAATCATGTTGATGAGAATCTGGTCCATAATCTCTCTCCTTGGAACATAAGCACCCTGTTCATCAGAGATAATAAGAGGAAGAAGCCTTCCAAGCCTACTTGCAATACATTTAGTAGTAATTTTGGATGCCACCGTAGAAAGGCAAACCGGTCTGAAGTCATTGAGTTTCATTGCATTATCAACCTTGGGCAACAGACAAATGTTGGAAGAACTTGCTGCTTTGGGAAGAGGAATCCCTAGAAAAACCTCTTGGCAAGCGGAAGTTATATCACCCTTGATTATGTCCCAGCAGTGTTTGAAAAAATTGATATTGAAACCATCTGGACCAGGAGATGAATTAGGCTCCATGTTCCAGACGGTAAGCTTGATCTCGTCTTCTGTGGGTAGAGACATGAGTCCTTCATTATGACTTTGTTCAATAATATGAGAAATGGTTTCCAAAAACTATGAATAAACTTCACTTGAGCTGCAACGTTCTGAGGAGTTAAAGAGAGTAGTGAAGTGGTTAATTGCAAGGGCCTCCATGTCATCAGGTTTATCAACAAGTTGGCCTTGTTCATTAAAAAGACCCGTAATTTGCTGCTTTCTCCTCTTTTCTTTTACCAAGTTGTGAAAGAATTTAGTGTTGGCATCTCCATCTCTCAACCATTTAAGGTTACATTTTTGTTTCCAAAAGGCATGTTCTCTCTTATTCACCTCCTGAAGTTCTGCCACCTTCTGATTATAGAGGATTTTGTTGTCAGTTGAAGGGTTTTCTTCAAAGAGTTGTTCAGCCTTAGTTGCTTCATCTTCAGCTTCTTTAATCATGTTGAAGATGTTACCAAAATGTGTTTTATTCCAAGAAGAGAGTTTCTCTTTGAGATGATGAAGTCTTTTGAAGAGGCTCTGCATTCCTCCATGGAAAGGAATCTCTTCCCAACTCTCCTTGCAATACTGCATAAAATCACCTCTTAATAACCACATATTTTGAAATCTAAAGGATTTGGTGGTGTTTCTAGCTCCTGGCTTTGAGAGGAACAGTATAGGACAATGATCACTTCCACCTTTAGCAAGATGTTGCATAGAGATGATGTTCCAATGATCAGCCCAAAAGGTATTATAGAAAACTCTATCCAGACGCCTCCATACATTGCCATTACTTCTAACCCCATGCCAAGTATAAGATGATCCAGTGTAGTTACATTCAAGGAGGTTGTTGTCCCTGATGCAGTTACTGAAATCAGTAATAGCTTCAAGATCAGGCAACCTAGAACCCTATGATGAAGGAAATCTGACACAGTGTTGAAATCCCCTCCAAGACACCATGGGTGATTAATACTAGCATTGAGAGATTCAATATTGCTCCAAAGAAGTTTCCTATCTTTAGTAGTATGACCACCGTAGATACCACTAATGGTGAAAGTGATGTTCTTATGGTTGTCCCTCAAAAAGAAGTGAGAAATTTGTCCAGCGTCATTGACATCAAGAAGAGAAAACCTACTAATGTCCCAAAGGAACCAAATCTTATTATTAGCAACTGAAAGGAATCCATTAAAACCTAGCTTAAAAGCAATATTTTTGCCTTTGTTGGCCAAAACCAGGGGTTCAATAAGAACAAAGAAATCAATACAGTGGTGCTTCTTAAGGTGGGAAAGCCTCTCGCACCTCTTTGAGACTCCCCTAACATTCCAAAAGAGGGAAGTAATCATTTAAGGGCTTGAAAAACCCCTACCCCAGACTTCTTAAAGTCTGAACGTGTCCTCATTCTGGAAGCTAGATGAGAGGAGGTTGCCGTCGGTGAAGAAGGTGCTGAAGAGGATCTCATCTTCACCGGAATGTCAGTATGAAGTCCGAGGGAGATGTCTGAGGAGGCATGTTGTAAAATGGGCTCCACACACTGGTCAGTTGCATGAATGAGATCCCCAATAATAGTAGCCCCACCATCAGAAGTAGTGGGTTCTGAGCAGGAGTAAGCAAGACCATTAGTGTCCAAATAAATCACCTCATGTGACTTAATGAATTGAACCTGGGGTTTGCGTAGGGCTCCTGCTTTGGACGTTTCTGCTTGGCACAAATCTACTTGTTCCTTACCTTGAGGGGGATCTAAAGTGAAAGTGGGTTTAGGGACCAACTCCATATTGGAATTATGCTGACGTCTAGTTTTCCTCTGCACTGTGGTCCATTCATTCTCCAAAACTTTGCCTTTGTCCTTACGTGGTTGCATGGTTCCTACCAACGGTAGGTTCCCCACCAGGATTTCCGGCTGGTTTGCCGCCTTGAAGGTGGTAGCGTTGTGGCCTAGCCTATGGCAAGAATCACAAAAGGATGGAGGATCTTCGTAGAGTACCTGGAAAAAGAGGTCCTCATCAATATGTTTGACGTGGATCTTCTGGTGGAGATACTTGGACACATCAATCTCAATGCAAACCCTAGCAGCCTTTGGACGAGAAAAGTTGAGTGTAGCATTGTCAACTTTTAGGGGTTTGCCCAGCTTGGAAGTGATGCAGAATAAAGCTTTTTGATCATGAAGGTGAATGGGGAGATTAGGGATGGAAACCCAAACCGGCACAATTGGAGAGTCTTCATTAGGGCGCAGGTTGGGAGACCACTTGGTAACCACCATGATTTCCTTTCCAAGAGTCCAAGATTTGCGTAAGAAAAGACGCTGATAATCTTCATCTTGCTCGAAGTTGATGAGAATGGAGTTGGAGTTGAGCTCTCCAATAGTGAAACCTCCAGCCAAGCCCAGCCGGGTAAGGAAATTTTTAACCACTGCAATGGGAGGTCTACGCCGGAATCTGCCAATCAGGGCAAACCTGAAGCGGTTGGAGAGGGCTTCAACTTCTTCTTTAGAGAAGGAGACCGAGGGACATCCCTTGAAGCTGGATTTATCAGATGGCTTGATCTCACTGCCTGTTTTGAAAAGTTCAGAGAAGAGTTTGGAACGTGCAGGGCAGTTGCTTGAGCTAGTCGTCGGAGCTGCCGGAAAGAGAGCCGGGAAACCTGCCGGAATATTTTCTCTCTCTAACGCCATCATATATCCATATATATATATATATATATATATATATATATATATGTATGTATGTATGTATGTATGTATGTATGTATGTATGTATGTATGTATGTATGTATGTATGTATGTATGTATGTATGTATGTATGTATCTATATATATATATATATATATATATATATATATATATATATATATATATGTTTATGTATATTTTGGATATACATATTATAAAGGTTATATTATTTATTTTGTGTTAATTATATGATAGTTAAAGTTGACAAAATAAATTGGAAGCTTCCTTAAAGTAGTGATTCGAAATTGCCAAAGTGGAATATGAATGGGATTTGATTTCTTTCCTAAAAATTAAAAGGAACATTCTCATTAGGAATGGGAATGGGGATTATGCTCCTTATAAATAGAAGATTATCCCACCCCATTTAATCATTCATAATTTTGGGCCTCTCCTTTTCTTAAGAGACAAAAAGTTTGTTTTGTTCTCTTAAAAACTTTACACCAAATATTTTATATTTTAGAAATATTCTAGAGAAAAATTACTAACATAATTTTTCTCTAAAACACTCTTCATTGTTCGTGGGTCTCAACTTGAGGTCATATACTTTTGTGGCTAGCTCTTGGACCAATCCTCCAACCTACACATATTGTTGCTTGCTCTCCAAGAAAGGTATATTCTTCAACAATAACTTATAATAATCATAAGAGGTCTTGGGTGGATCTACGTTTGGACACCAAAATTTTTGTTTTTCCGCTGCCCTATCCAAGCGTAGAACCCTACACAGGTAGTACTCATTTTAAAGCAAAGTAGAACCCTATCCAAGCGTAGAACCCTACACAGGTAGTACTCATTTTAAAGCGTAGAACCCTACACAGGTAGTACGCTATAACTAGGGACCTTTTATAGAATTTACTCTTAAAAAAATAAATTTCAAAAAAGGAAAGTAGAATAAGAAAAAAAATTCATAGTATAAATACGGTCATTCGCATTCACTTTCGTAATTAGCTTCTTTGAAGTGCGTTTTCAAAACCCTCATTTGAACAAAACATGGGAATCTTAACCGCTGTAAAAAATATTTATGAGAGGTCATCGCTTTTGATGCTAAAACTGAGAGCGATAAGATTTTATCATGTTTCTGCCCAAACTAGGGGGCCCGAATCAATGAATGTTATTTTTGATGACTTAGAGGTTAGTTTTTTCATTAATAGGAATCTAAATTGCGTATACATTAAGATGTAATTGGGAAACTTGTTAATCGAAGCCTACCCGAAATCCGTATGGTAAAACTAGCACTAGAGCAAATGATGGAAATTACATTGGAGGACCAAAAATATGTGAGAAATTATATTCTATATTCAAGTCTCTTTTTGCTAAGAATAAAATTTATAAAAATTTTATTAGATAACTTCGAATCATTTTATTTTCGTGTATTAATAATCTTAATTCGTGAAACATTAATGTTTTGATTTTTAATTTTTAATGTGTAGGGGCATTCGGTTAAATTGTACATTGTGGGCAAATCATATTGATTTGGTGATCAGTGGTCTCAATGAAGTAAAATCACAGCCTCCAATTTTGGTGATGCAAATGGTGAAATCTAGGCTATACAATGGTATTGTTATTATATTATTTAAATATAAATTTGAAATAATCTGACACAAAAATTTAAGTCTAACGATTGTTGTTTTTAATATTTTAGAACGAGTATCGATTACAACATTTTATAATGTCAGCAAGGTTTTACTAAATGAGAACTCTGATGAAGTTAAAGCTTTCAGAGAAAAGTAAGTACAATTGTATTCTTTTTTTTAGGTTTTTATTTTTTTTAATATAATTTTATACTTTAAGTTTCTTGAAGTTTTAATCGTGCAGATTGATGCCAGGCAATGAAGATAATTTAATCGAGAGTTGTAGTATTTTGTCAACCAATTAAGGCCAAGAGATGATCCAATGAACTAAGTTATTTGCAGGATCGTGCAATTTTGGCTCTTGCATTGGATGTCGCCGATTCTATAAATGAGTATATGACAACGATGAATCCTATCAGCGAATCTCAAACATATCTTAGTTTGGAAAAAGTTGAGAATTCGGACAGCAATGCAAGTTTTATGAGTGACTTACACTCTCCCGAGTTCTTAAATAAGATTCTTGCTTTTGGTGTACCAAATCCTGAGTTAACTTTGAAGGTAGGCACACCTATTATGTTGTTGAGAAATATTGATCATTCATTGGGTTTATGTAATGGTACACGGTTGATAGTAACTCGGTTTGCTAATCATTCAATACAAGGAAAGATATTATCTAGAGTCCACATGGGTGAAGAAGTCATTATTCCAATACTATCATTGACGCCATCCGATATAAGAATTTCATTCAAGTTTCAAAGAAGACAATTAACAAGGGTCAGTGGCAATCTGTGAAACATGTTGGATTATTGATACGCAAACCGGTATTTAGTCATGGATATCTGTAGGTTGCAATTTCAAGAGTAACAAATCATACTCGCTTAAATATTGTGATATGCAACGAAGACAATATTATCACAAGTTGTGCGAATAATGTAGTTTATAAAAAAGTCTTTTGAAATTTGTAAAGCAAAAAACTTTTGTACCTTAAAATAATAAAATCTATATATTCTATTAGATATCATTTTCTATCATTAAAAAATGATCTTAATTTAGTAACGTAAATATGACACGTGCAATGTACGATTGTGATACTAGTATCAATAGAGAGAAGAAAATCCCAAAATATATCATATCTGATGGTGTAAATTACTTAACCGGTCAAACTATACTAGACCGGGTCTAGAATAGTTTGCCTGATTTGGTAAAAATAAGAAAGGTAAAAACACGCAGAGTGACCGGTAAGACTTTAGGTGGAACACATGTAGCCCAACTTATATTATAACAGAGAATGCATGGGTGCTTTTACAAGGGAGTTTAGAGAGAATGAATTCGGATCCCTCTTTCTGAGGTTTACATGAGTATTTATACTAGGCTAAGGGGGAAAAGACCACGTGCGCCCATGTGGGGGCATGCTGCTGATGTGGTGCGAGGTGACTGGTTTCGTCCTCGAGCAGCCTTGTCGCCTTGCGAGGGGAATTATTCCCTTTGTCAAGTAGTGCCTTGGATGGATTCCTCAAGTATCTCCAGCTATCCTCCACTGACATGGGTCGCTACACGCCAAGCCCTTTTAGGTTCTCTTCTACCGACACTTTCCAACCCTAGAAACTACACCGGGTAATCTCCGAGGGATGAAATCATCGAAGTCAGGGAAAAAATAGGGTGACAAAGTAGTTTGACCGGTATACTTTTTCGTGAAGTATACCGGTCATCTTTTTCCAGCAAATCACATATCAATTTGCTGATGATCTAAGTCTCCCTTCCAAGACCTTCGAGATTGACCGGTCAACTAATTGGTCTTCTCCTTTGACCGGTCGTAGGTGGAATACACCCATCAATAAGCCCTCCACTTCTCGGTCATGCAATTTGTCATGAGCGGGAAGTAAAAAAACATGAAATAGGACTCCAATTTTGAAATTTTGGCTCTTCCCGCCTAAAATTTTTGAAATTTGAATTTCAAACTTTGATTTTTGCCACGTGTTACGCATCAACCGTTGCAATTAGTCGGCTGCAGACCCGTCGTTTCGCCTGCCAGTGGATCATCATTGCGCCGCCTCACGCGGCGCAACCTGAAAAAGCCACGTCGCCTGATTCAGCTTCCCCCCTCCTATATAAAGGCCTCCAACCCTCTTCACTTCTCACTTTTCGCACTTCACATTCCAGAGCTTTCACCGGTCAAGTTCCTCTCTCTCGCTATCCAGCCCTCCGAGTCAAGTAAGTTTCCCCTTCCTTCTCTAATTAGTTTCCCGGTCATGTCTTCTTTAGATAGCCATAGGATTTCTTCCTCAGAGGACTGCTCCTCTGAGGACTCCAACTCCTCCTCCTCGACCGGGTATTCTTCTCCTGGCTCCATGCCCGGTCAGACTCCTAACCCTTCTGTCCCCGACCCGCAACCTGTTAATCAAATGCCCGGTGAGGTTTTTATGGGGAGGGATGAGCCGGTTGATGACGAACCGGGTCCCTATGACCCTGAAAACGAAACCCGGGACGCGTGGGAGGAGCGGCTTCATGCCGCCGGTTACTTTCCGCTCCCCACCTTCTACGTCCTTGACATTCCTTCCCATGTATCCAAAATCGCTTTGAATAAAATTCGTAGGAGGCTCCCGGATGGGTATACCCTTTTGTATGAACATGAGTGGCCCAACATTGTTGAACCCCACCGGGAGGATAGGATAGGGTTCCACACCATATCATTGGACGCGGGCATCGTTTTTCCCCTTCGCCCCTTCCTTACTGAAGTCTTCCATGCGTTTAGGATTTTGCCCGGCCAAATAACCCCTAACGCCCACCGGTATCTTCATTCCTTTGTAAATATCTGCTCTCATCTGAAAATCGATCCCTCCGTGCGTCTTTTCCTTTTTTGCTTTGAAGTCCTACTGGGTGGGACTGGTTGCGAAGGTTTTGTATTCTTCAAAGCCCGTATCGGTAGGAAGTTCATTTCCGAAGTCCCCCCAGAGTAACCGGGGATGGAAGGAAAAATTTGTTTTCATCGAGTTTCCCCCCTTCGTCACTCTTTTGGCCGGTCTGAAATGGAATGACGACCTTCTCGATCAAGAGCATGCTGCACCGGCTTCCTCCCTTGACTTGGAAGCGAATCTTGAGATCCTCATGCGTGGCGATCCATACACCAGGAGGATCTTCCATTATGGGAGCTGGGTTTGGCGGGTTGAATCGGGTGGTGAGGGTACCTCCCAAGCCCATGAAGCAGTGGGGCGCGGGGTACCCTCCCCGGGCAACACTGTAGAGGCTGAGGGCCAAAACCACCCAGGTATATTTTTTTTCATTCTCCTTGTGATTAGCGCTTTGACCGGTGTCATTTCATGTACTTAACGATTCTAGCTTCTTTTGCAGATATGGAGTTCGAGGAGTTCGCCATCCCTGATGACCAACCAGCGGGAGAGGCCCGGGGTTCCCAAGCCGGGACTGCCAAAACTTTCACGGTCCAACAAGAGACCGTGGAAGTCCATGATCTGGATGAGCCAGAAGATGACCGGTCGAAAGGGAAGGGCAAGGAGAAGATCGACTGGCGGATAAAGAAGGTGGCCACCACACACCCTTCTTTCGCTAAGAAGAGGCAAAGGGCTGACTCTGACACGGGCTCACAAACCATCGAGGAGGCCTTCGTCAACCTTGGGCTGAGGCTGAGGGAGGTAAGTTGAATTCCCTTCCCGGTACGTTAGATCCCTACTTTTCTCGGAAGTTTAACCAGTTGGTTCGTGCATGCTGCAGGTTAAAGAAATTGGACCCATTACAGCTGACCGGCTGGGGTTAGGCTCTCCTTCGGAACTTGCCCGGCTGAAGAAGGAGAAAGAGGAGATGGCTCTCATCTTGAAGAGCCAAACTGACGAGCTGACCAGGCTTTCTGGGCTGGCCGGGTCTATGAAGGCCGAAATCTCCTAGCTGAAGGAGGAGAACGGCCGGCTGATCGACGAGGTCTCCGAGGTGAAGCAAGAGATGGCGAAGAAGGACGAGGATTTCCCCAGGCTTGCAGCTGCTTGGGTGGAATAGAATAAAGCTGAAGCTGCCCGGGTGATGACAGCGACTCCAGAGACCACGATGGAGTCCTTCAGGCTTCTGTACCGGGAGCCTGAAGGAAGGAATATGATTACCGCGATTGGATCCTTCGGATTCAAGAGCGGTCAAAAGAAGGACCGGATCGCCTCTCACCGGGTATTGCTCAAAAGAGATCCGGACTTCAGCGCTGCATTTTACGGCCTGGCACCAATCCCGGAAGAAGAGCCAACTCCCCCGTTCCCCCTTGAATGAACTCCCCGGCTGAGACCGGTTGTTTCTCGTTGTAAAAACTCTATCAACTTATAATTTCCCCGGCTATGCCTGGTGTATCTGTAAAACACAATATTTTGAATCTTTGCAATTCGAATGTCATGTTTTACTTTTCTCCTCGGTCACTTTTTCTCCCTTGATTGTTTCTTGCGTGCCTTTGTTTCTGTTATCTTACTTCAACCGGTACGCTTGGTATTTGATAAACATCCGCCAGTAGAACTTGAACTTTCGCTCTTTGATATATTTATCGTGAAAATCACTTGAATAAACCTGACCGGTTAAACTCCAACTTTCACTCTTGAATGTCTTCATCTTGATGGTCAACTTAAAAAAGTTTGACCGGCTAAACTTCATTTTGGCTTTTCGATAAAGTACCGTTTGACCGGTAGGTTCCTACTCCACGGTCTTGCCGGTCAACTACTTTGCCTTGTAGAACTTTCGAAGTTCCGTTGTATCAATACCCAACCGGGGTATTCTTTTTTTTTTTGTCACCGGTAGGTTGTAGATGGAAGCACCTGTAACCTAGTAAGTTCTTGAAGTATTCTTAACCGGTAAGAATACTGGAGATTTAACCATGTCGAATGGTTTCGGACCCTCTCCAAGGTCCAAATGCACCCTTCTTCCAGGGCCCCCTCTTCCGGGTTATTAAGTCTTTTAATAGCCCTTTGATTTCTACCATCCCGAGAAGGCCTTAGCTCACCCCCGTTCAAGTCTTCCCTGAGAAGGGGGAAATAGGATGCGCCACGGTGGACGATCCCTTTCTATTTCTTTTAATGGGCATCTTTTAGTCCCCAATCAATTTGACGGTACCGGCTGATTCCCCGATACCGGTCAAACCTCATGGGCCCGTGTAAGTACGGTTCGAACTTTCTTCCAGGTTCAGCCCTCTTGCAGGCATACCCCTCTTCCGGGGCCCCTCTTCCGGGTTTTATTATTTTTTCTATTATACTGAGCAAGACCGGTGTAGTAACCAGCGTGCCAGGTCCGGGCCTGTGTCTCAGTTGGCTTATCCAAGTGGATTCGATCCACCCGGGAAGCCCTCCTAGGATAGGTTCGACCTATCATTTCTGCTGCTATCATGTAGAGTATTGAACATCATTTTGATTGATAATGTAGTTAGGCCTCGCCTAGTATTACAATCATTTGTAGGTCCCCGGGCGAATGATAGCTTTCACCCGGTAAGGTCCTTCCCAGTTTTTGGCCAACTTTCCTCCATCACCCGGTCTACTAGCCTCTCTTCTTCGTAGGACTTCATCTCCAACTTGGAAGTATCGCGGTCCAACCTTGTTGTCATGGTACTTCTTCACGACTTGTTGATATGTGCTCATTTTAACTTCCGCGGCCATTCTCCGCTCCTCGACCAGGTTGAGTTCAGCCAAGTGATCTTCCTCGTTCTGCTGGGGTTGATAATTTGATTCCCGAAACGTTGGGAATTCGGCTTCGATGGGCAGCCTTGCTTCACACCCATACGTTAGAGAGAATGGAGTTTCCCCATGAGCCCTACTGGGTGTTACTCGGAATGCCCATATGATGTGCGGGAGCTCTTCTAGCCATTTGTTTCCTGCTTCTCCCAGCCGTTTCTTTAGACCATCCACAATTGTTCGGTTGGCGTTTTCGACTTGGCCATTTCCTTGGGGGTACGCCACCGAAGAGCGATTGTGCTTGATTCCGAAGCCCTCCAAGTATTCGGTGAACCTTGGATTTCGGAATTGTGGGCCGTTTTCGGTTATGAGGTTCATGGGCGCTCCAAACCTCGTGATGATGTTCTTCCAAATGAATTTCTTGCATTGTTGCGTGGTGATGTTGGCCAACGCTTCGGCCTCGATCCATTTGGTGAAGTAATCAATGGCTACGATTACGAACTTCTTCCCTCCTTGGGCGACTGGGAACGCTCCAATGATATCAACCCCGAATCTAGCGAATGGGATGACATTAGACACGGGGTGATAGTAGGTCGTCGGTCTTCCGGGGTACTTGTAGAACACTTGGCATGTTCTGCATTTCTGAACATACCTTTCACAATCCTGGATAATTGTCGGCCAGTAATACCCCAATAGGATGATGCGTTGGGAAAGCGTACGGGACATTTGATGCACCGCGCATACGCCTTCGTGGACCTCCGCTATGACTTGCTCAGCCTCCCGGTTGGTTAGACATCTCAGGAGTGGCCCCCCAAATGCCCTTTTATACAGTTTTCCATCAAGAACCTGGAATCGGGGTGCCCTGAGCTTCACTTTTCTTTCCCGGTCATCTTGTTCTGGGAAGCTCCCATCCATCAAATATTCCATCAGATCATACATCCAATGGTTGTCCGACCCGACCAGGTTTGACAAGTCAGATTGGCTTCCGGCTGTTATAGCGGCAACTTCCAATTTTTCGATGCTGGCTCGATCCAGGATTTCCACCCGGGCAAGTTTTGAAACATGCTCGGGAGCATACTGCGTCAACTTGGAGAGAAGGTCTGCATCCACGTTCTCCGCCCGGGGAATTTGGGCGATCTTGAATTCCTCGAAGCCTTTCAACAAGGCAAGCACGAGCTCCTTGTATTGTGCCATTCGTCCTTCTCTTGCTTCCATGTTACCGGTCACTTGCCCAACAATCTGGCTAGAGTCTGACCCGGTTGATCTTGAGGGCATGGGCAAGTCTGAGCCCTCCAGCCAAAGCTTCATATTCTGCCTCGTTGTTTGTCAGCTTGAATTTGAAGACGATTTCATGGTAGATCTTGAACCCTTCTGGGGTGGTAAACACGATACCGCCCCTGTACCCTCTAGGGCCGGATGCCCCATCAACTGCCATCTCCCACCATTGCTCAGTGGGCTTGTTGACCGGTAGGTCTGGAGTTAGACCGGTCATTTCTACCAAGAAGTCTGCAAGGGCTTGTCCCTTGATTGCTGACCTTGGCCGGTACTCAATGTTGAATTGAGTTAACATCATTGCCCACTTCACCATCCTCCCGGAGGATGTTGAATTTCGCAACACTGCACCCAGCGGTTGGTCAGTCAAGACTTCCACCGAGCGAGCTTGGAAGTAGGATGTTAACTTTTTTGCGGAGATGAAAAGCGCATAGGCTGTTTTTTCCATCGCCGTATATCTACTTTCTGCTCCGTTTAGTGCTTTGCTCACATAATATATGGGCTTTTGTGCCCCATCATCTCTTATTAAAACGGAGCTTACAGCATTTGGGGAAATTCCCAGGTACAGATACAGAGTTTCACTCGGCTCGGGTTTAGACAATACAATATCTGACACTAGGTACTCTTTCAGCTCTTCAAATTCCCTCTGGCAGTCTTCATCCCACGAGAATGTGTTGGCCTTCTTCAGGACTTTGAAGAAAGGCAGGGATCTCTCAGCTGACCGGGACAGAAAACGGCTGAGTGCCGCTAGACGACCGGTCAACTTTTGCACATCCCTAACCGAGGTAGGGGCCTGCATCTCGGTGATAGCCCGAATTTTTTCTGAGTTGGGCTCTATTCCTCTCTTGGTCACCATGAATCCCAAGAACTTCCTGGTACGAACCGCGAAGACGCATTTCTTAGGATTCAGCCGGAGGTTGTATTTTGCCATGATATCGAATGTGGCTCGCATATCAGCTGGGTGGTTGAGAGATACCTGGCTTTTGATCAGCATGTCGTCGATGTATGCTTCCATGGTCTTTCCCAGTAGTGGCTTGAAGAGTTTGTTCACCGTGCGCTGGTAGGTTGCTCCTGAGTTCTTCAAGACAAACGCCATTACCCGGTAGCAGTAGGTTCCTTCGGGTGTGAGGAATGACGTCTTCTCTTCATCTTCCTTGGCCATGTAGATTTGGTGGTAACCCTTGAAGGCATCCATGAAACTTAGGAGTTCGCACCCCGCAGTTTCGTCCACCATTTGATCTGGACTGGGAAGGGGGTATGAGTCCATCGGACAAGCCTTGTTCAAGTCCTAATAATCCACACACATTCTCCACGTGTCGCCCTTGGGAGCAAGGACAACGTTGGCCAGCCAATCCGGGTAATCTCTGCCTTGAGATCTTCGGGGAGATTTGCTCCAATTCTGACCATCCTCGAAGAATCACCCGGGTGAAGTTCGACTTCCACCGTCTCGGCCTCGGGCTCCAATTTCTCCCGGGTCTCTCCCTTTGTGATCTCTTGGGAGATGACATTGACCCCCTTGGTCATCTTCTTGACTGCCCGGGCATAGCACTCCCCGGCATTCCTCTGGTCGCCTTTCACTTCACCCACACCACCTGGAGTGTGGAACTTCATGCACAGGTGAGGCATGGAAATCACCGCCCCATCCTTATTGATGCCCGGCCTTCCAAGGATTGCGTTGTGGACGCATTTGATGTCCACAACGATGAATCACATCTTCTTCCATACGGTTCTTTCGCCCAATCCTAGTTCGACTAGTAAAACTATGGACCCTTCAGCCTCCACTGTATCTCCCGTGAAGCCTGAGAGAGGAGTCTTCAGGGGTTCAAGTTGTGTCTGACACAACCTGAGTTTTTGGAAAGTTTCCAGGTACAAGATGTTGACACTACTGCCGGTGTCAACAAGTACCCGGGCAACATCCACCCCATTAATGTCCATGGTGATGACCAATGGATCGTTATGATCTTCACCGGTAGGGGGGAGGTCCCGGTCACTAAAGACGATCGGTTCCCTCCTGGTATGCTTATGCCTGGCCGGTTCAGCACCTACTTCACCAACATAAATGCTGCGGACCCAGTTCTTCCGTTGCGCGGCTGAATCTCCTCCTTCAGGTC